CAGCAGCAGCAGCAGCAGCAGCAGCAGCAACAGCAGCAGCAACAGCAGCAGCAGCAGCAGCAGCAGCAGCAACAGCAGCAACAGCAGCAGCAGCAGCTGGCTAACAACGTACCAAAGCTAAGTGACCTTAGTAAAATTGCCTTAAATAGTTCCTTAAAATCTAGTGACATAGTCAAAGATGCCGTCGAGGCAGCCACTGAGGCGCCGCAGCCACAGCAGCACCGTGAACTCAGCGTCGAGGAGGCGCTGGCCGAGATGTATCAGCAGATAGGCGTGGCCTCCGATGCCGAGGACAATGAAACGGAAGCGGATGCCAAGCAGCTGATTGACGCCGCTGCCGGCTCTGGCCAGGATGTGCTGTTGATCAATCTGGCCGAGATTTTCGACAATAGCAGCAGCGATCTCTACGTGGTGCAGTGCGACATGAATGAGAACATCCTGGGCGTGGTCGAGTCGGATGATCTCGAGCAACAGCAGCCGCCAGCAGTAGCAGGAGCGGGAGCAGGAGCAGCAGCAGCAGCAGCAGCAGCTGTTGCTGAGCAGACAAATACGCAACAGCTGATCGAACTGCTAGCCGAACCGGAATCGGATCACTTTGACGCCACGCCCCTCATCCATCATGAGGAGGTGGTGCCGGATAGCTGCAGCAAGCTGAGCGCCCGACGTGAGTTCCTCAAGTATCTGCACGGCAAATATGTGCAGAACAATGTCAGTCGCTACGATCATGGTCAGCGTGTGCTGCGCAAGTACAAGCGGCGACTCCTGCTGCAGCAGAAGCAGCAGCATCAGCAGCAGCAGCAGCAGCAGCGGCGGCGGCAATCAACACATGGCACGCCCACAGCGCGTAAGCATTAACCAAAGATGGCTGCAACAAAAGAGTGTGAAGGCTTTCCATTTCCAGCTCAGTTGCTGGCAGGGGGTGGTAATCGTTGTCGCTCTAGCGTGAAAAATCAACATGACGTGCCTAATGGATTAGAAATTTAAATTCAAATTATTCACCCACATACACATAGAGACAGATTTACACCTACACACACACACATACATCTACTACACCCACACATTTGGTGAATCTCAAAAGACTTGTTTATATAAAATCAATTTTTTTGGCATTTGTTTAGTACATACCGTAGTAGATATACTAAATCTAATTAATCTATATAATTCTTCTTATTTTTTTTGTATATATTTAAAGCATAGCAAAGGCTTCGTTTTTAATACAAATATGGACATTTTCAGGTTTAAAACATTTTTCAGTGCGACACAATATTAGAAAAAGAATTTAAATTGAGTTATATATTGATATACATATATAGTTCGACTCGAGTACCTCAAGAAAACACAGTTTAAATTATTTGTATGCTGAAAAAATTGCAAATTACCAACAAATTTATAGTTTTATAAACTTATAGAAAGTTGTTTTTAAATTTTAAAAAAATTTTATGTTCATACATGAATTTGTTATCTCTTTTAATACATGTTTGTTTTACCCATACATTTTATTCTTAAAAATAACACTTTAGAATATCTGAAAATATTTTTAAGCTTTTTACGAAACCTTAATTTCAGCCTTTCTTAATGGATGCTCATAGAGTGAAAATAGAGGCAAAACCCAGAATAATAATAATATAAATATTGAATAATTAGTATTATTTTTTAAAGTAGAGCTTTATTTCTAAAAAAAAGTATACGAACTTTTTCAAGCATCTCAAATTTTAATCAAATTTTATTAAATATTTTTAAATTTTTTAAATATTTTTTGTATACCTTTTCTTCAATATAAAGTCATACCAAATCTGAAAAAAACCCTGAAAATGTCCATATAAAATGAAAGCAGTTTTATATACATATATACATACATATGTAAATTCATATTTTTTAGCGAAACGTGCAATATTTTTGTTAAATGTGCAATTAATGTGTTTTTTTTTTCTAAATAACAAACATATTTAAAAATTCGAATCTCATGCTAAGTGGGGCCACGTTGCGGCGAGGGGGCGTGTCTGGGTGCGTACACCTGGCGTATACGCGATTAGCCACATGCATCTGTGTATGCGTGCTGCTCCAGCTCGCGTGCAATTAAGTTTACAGAAAAATAAAACAAAAATCGAGCACATATGTCATTTCAGCCATACATATATATTAATACTTATCTATATATACTTATAAGTTAGCATGCTACACTGCGAGTGCGAGTGCAACAGTGATAGCTAAACAACATTTATATTTCAGTTTACTTTTTTTTTAAACTTTTTTGTTTTTATTTTTATCAGTTAAGTGTATCAGCATTTTAGTCCGTGCGGGACAATTTAAAGCCGTCGCTCATCAGAGGTCAAACAGCAGATAGCGAAAGATATATAGTTACAGATATGGATATATGTATACATATACAAGTGTATATATGTATATATTATTAACAACTATGTGGCATGTCTCTTGCGTGTTAAAACTGTTAACTTGGCTATGTGTGTGTAATTATGGCCCAAGTAAAGCCCTTTTATGTCAAGTTGATGGCCATGTGGTTTTAGAATACAAAAAAAATACAGCTAAGTAGACATAACACTCCCCCACATTGAAACACCCAAAGCGCCCTGTTGCTCATGCTCACTGCTTTCAAATTGACAAACAGAGTTGTCTGTCTGACTTGTTCTTCATTCATCTTTATCTGTCACCTTTCACTTTCTACAAAACTCTTCACAGAGTAATAAATCTTTATACATACATTCAACTTGCTATCTAGAGTATCTAGCAGTCGTTACTTGCCGTCTGTCAAAGTCTTTTATTTTGTTTAAATAGTTTCGTCGATTTTAAGTTAAGATTTTGCCAACTGCCTTTGTTTAATGAAGGCCACCAAAATGCAGCCTAGACCAAAAAATGCAACAAAAAACGGAATGAGAATAAGAGAAATATATTTAAGAGACATATACATTCATTTTTAGCGAGAAATACTGTTAGCTTAAGATTGTTAGAGAGAAGCTGTTGTTTCAGTTAGTGCAAGACATGTTTTTGTTTTCTAGTACAATTTACGTTAGGATTGGGAAATTGTTAAACATAGCAAAAATTAGAAAATATAAATATTTTTTGTAGCTATATAGACATTTTCATATACATATAGAATTATATATAGTATAGTATGTCTGGAAGACTATTGCTGTAGCACTCTGAAATGGCCTTGTTTTTACACAACTTTGATGGAATATAATATAGCATATTGTATAGTAAATCCGGAACTGTAGATAAAATCCGCTATAGAGATTCGCTATGCAGTTGAAAATGGATTCGCTATGGCTTATATAAGACCAGGAATAGAAAGCGTTGCACTTTTTAGCCTTAATTTAAAAAAAATAAGAAAACAAACAGATCTAATCATGTGAGACCAACCACCTATAGCTAAACTGAAACTACGTGCGACACCATTTCTTCTAGCAAAACAGATTCCAAAGGACCAAAAATCAAAAACACTAAATAATTGTTATTTATAATTGTAAATTACATACGAGTAAAGTCAAAGCAAACCAAAATTTTTTTCGGGCACACATTGTTGTTGTTGTTTGTTTCTTTTGCAATTCATCAAGTTTTTGTGCAATATGAAATCATATTTAGTTAAATATAATACGCTTAATTTTAGTACAAAAAGCAAAATGAAAGAAATGCCCACTTAATGTAATATTTATTATATATTCGATTTATATCTCTAAAATGTATATCATCTAAATGTCATACACATACACACACACACACACCTTCTCTATATATGTATGTATAAATTTTAAAGTATAATTAAATATTTATAGCCCGTGTACAAGGGGAAAGTTTTTTTAGTCCCTAAGCATTATACGATATGTCCAGATTGTGACTATATACATATATATATTAATATATAAATGTGAATGTGAGTGTCTTTTTGAGCATATATTCAAATGAAAATTCAATATTATATAGATGGAGAAATCAACACCAGCAACAACAACAACTAAAATTGTATTGATTGAAATAAATGTTTTATGTACATGTTATTGCAGTATGAAAACCAAAAGTCTTTTCTTACTCAATATATTTATGGTATGTATAACTCTATAGACGTAATAAACTATTTTCAGATATCTGAAGAAGGCTCTAAGATACCAATTGGAACGATTAAAAATGAATTCAGATGTTTTTATAATACAGCAATATAAATTGCGATTTTATTCGTTTGTTTTTTTTTTGTAGAATTCAAAAATACAGCACAGTTCACAAATCTAGAATTTGCAGGCTAAAGTAAAAAACCAACTGGGTTTAGGTTGCTTCATTGTCCTTCGCACCAAGGACTCGCTTAGTATTTGCATGCCTTTCGTTTACGCAATTCCGCTCTCTCTCTCTCTCTCTCTCTCTCTCTCTCTCTCTCTCTCTCTCTCTCTCTCTCTGTCTCTGCCTCTCGCTCTCGCTCTCTTTGGTCCTACTCGTACTTGTCAAAGTAGCGCTTCTTCAGATCCGGCGGATACGTAACATATATGTAGTGCTCATTCTGTCCACCCACCTCACTCTGCACGATCTCGTGCGTGGAGGAGGAGGCGCGTAGCGATTGCTGCGAGGCGCCAACATGACGATGCCGCGTGTCCAGCGGCCGCGGATGTGTGTTGTAGTGAACACCACCACCGATGCCAGCACCGGCCGCACCAGCAGCTCCAGAGCCGCTCATATTGCTTACCACGCTCGTGGCGATTGGCCGGCCAGAGTTACTTGTATAGTCGCGTCGGTCTAAAATGTCCTGTGGGTAGACCAGGCTCGTCGAGTGCCGATGCAGCGGCGTATTGGCGTTGGACGAGGACCCCACCACTTGCCGGCCGCCGGCCGACGAGCTGGTGGGCGTACCCTGACCCACCGCCTGCGCCGCTGGACGCTGATCGGCGATGTAGTGACGCGGACTGTGCCGATGGTATTGAACCTGTTCGGGATACAAATCGCGAGCCTGCTGCTGCTGCTGCTGTTGCTGCTGCTGCTGTTGCTGGTAGTATAGCTGTTGTTGCTGCTGCTGATGCTGTTGCTGTTGATAGGGATCGGCAGTCCGACCAGGTATCCCGCCGGCGTCCAGCTGGAGCTCCTGCTGCGTGGCATAGTCGAGATGATAGTGGTGCGGCGCTGGCATGTAGATGCTGCCGCCGGCTCCGACGCCTGCATAATGGTTGGCATTGATTGTCGTTTCTTCGGAGCTGAAACAAATGACTTGGGTTTGCTCAATCTCACATTGACGGACAGTAGCGGTTGCTGCTGCGGCCACACAGCCACACTTACTCAAATAGTATCCAAATGATGTAGTAGCAGAAACAGATGCCCGTCGACAGCACGAATATCAGTATGACAATGAGACCCCAGGGAAAGGCACGTGGTTCCAGTGGGCCATCCTCCCAGTACCGATCACAGGTGAGGTACCAGCAGACCGCCTTGTTCATCTCCTCCTCCATCTCCTTGAACGCCTGATCGGACATGGCCAGCAGCAGGCCGCCAATGCAGCTGCGTAACAGCAGCTCGCAGCGTGCCTTCAGCTTGCTCAGCTCCTCCGGTTTGCAATTGGCCCGTACCTTGGCCTGTCCGTTCGACCCGTCCACTGTTGTGCTGGGATCTGGCTGGCCGCTGCCTTCCGCATCGCCGCTGTGCTCAGCCTCGTCCGTTTCGTTTTGCTTGGACTCGGCTGAGGTCGACGCCTCAGTTTCGGTGCGTTTCAGATGCGTCTGACTGAGCTCCTTCAGTTTCATCAGCAGCTTCTCGCCGGCCGACATTGGTTTGGCTGCTGAGCCATCGCCGGCATTGGTGGCATCGGCCGGCGACTGTTTCTTCGTGGGACTTGGCTTCTCTTGGAGTAATTGACGATTTTGTACTTTGGCTGCACGAGTGGCACTCAATGTGGAAGTTCTGCAAGAGATTGGATAAAGAGATTGTGCGAGAGAGGGAGAGAGAGCGTCCTCTACTTGCCTTGGTATTAAGCTCAAGTATGCGGCATTCGCTTTGGCCAGGGCGGAGTTCTGACCCAGAGAGTCGCCCCAAACTTCGATATCAGTGACGATGTGCTGATCGCCAAACTTGAGGCTAGATGCGTCCTCCGTTTGGAATACCTCACAACGCATTATATCGCAAAAGTCGGCCAAGCAAACGGAGTCCTCTGCCTGCGTAAATTATCTCGTCAAAATGCTTTCTGTTTTGCAATTACACTTGGTTTTACCTCATTGATGATGTGCTTGTGCCGTGTATCGAAGTGCAAGTCAAGATACTTCTCCTGGTAGAAACTCTTGCCGCAACGCCGGCAGGTCCACTGCGTGGGCCGATCCCGTTGCTTTTCCTCCTGGCGTGGCGCAAACACATCTCTCAGCGGATGCAGCGGACACTCCAAGGGCAGTTTCACCTAAAATACGCCAGAGTACAATTATGGCCTAGGCATTTTATCTGCTCCAATGGTGCACTTACCTGATGCTTATCCAAAATGGGCGTCCACTTGGAGCGCACTATCTTGCGCACCAGGCGGCTGTTATCTCGCGAGCAGAGTATCTTGATAACGTTGGATGGTGGCCATGGTATTAGCAATAAAATGAAGATTAGAAATTGCCTGGATGTCATCAAACAGAGCGTGAGTGAATGCAATCTGTAATGGATACAGAGAGATAAATATATACATATATAGTAATGCGGTGCAATCGGACCTACTGACCGACTGGCCAGTTAATTACGAATGCCGCCCACTAGTTAAGCCAGTCAAGCCCTGAGCACGCAACCCTTGGCTGCGTGCCTGCTTGATTATGTTTTTTTTCTTTTTGGGTCACTTCAAGTAATAAAAAAAAGGGCAGCGCGCACAGAAAATCGATAAAGGAATGCGGCCGAGCGGGTTGTTAAGGTGTGTGTGTGTGTGTGTGTGTGGGGAGGGATGAGGCGCAGGGGGAGTGGCTGTTATTTGGCTCATCCTGACAGTTGCTAAACAAAAATTGGCAACGTAAAGTATTTGCACTCACCTCGAATTGATGGATAATCAGACGACATTCATTATTTCTCGGCACTTTTTTGTTGCTGAAAAAAGTTTCTCTTGAATTTTTAATGACAATTTTTGAGGTTAGATGTGCCTGTAACGGTTTCTATCGCGCGGTCGTTATGAATGAGCCTAAAGTGCATTCGATGTGCAAAAGAATAAAATAATAAAGAAATAGCTTTTTTTTTTGTTTCGTTTTATTCGTTTTGTTATAAATAAAAGCTGCAGTCCCGTTACTGCACGTTCGCACTGCTGAAAGTTTCTGCGCTCTTTAACCCGCAAACGGCGAGCGCTCGCTCTTTCTCTCTCGCTCTCTATTGGCCTTTCACCTCATTGTCCTGCGCCGGATCTTACAGCTGTTTCGCAGAGTTGCCAGATAGTTGGCATGGCTTAGACTGCAAAACAATATATATTCGCCGCATACTTTCAGGCAGTGCAAATAAAAATAAAACCTTTACTTTTTAAATTTAATTAAATTTATTTTTTCCTGTTCATGTTGTTTGCTGCTACAGTTGCACTTGTGGCATGTGGAACGACTCCGAATTGATTTATATTTTTACAATTACTAGACTACATTAAGGTTTTCTTGCGCACAACTTCCTCTGGCAACAAAAGTCTTCACATCTACAATAAATACTACTTAATGTACAGCCCCGATGCATGTCCAAAGATTCACAGCCCATTGTAGACGCGATTAATGGACGACTGTTGGAGTATTTTCTTGAGAGCTGAAAACAAAAACAAAATTTTTGATTTACATATATGAAAATCCTTTGAAAATGTTGTAACCCACCTTCTTTGTCCTCCTCTGTCAAGTCCTGCTTGGGGAACTCCACATCGAATGTTATGTAAAGATTGCCCGTCAGATTGTTGTTCTCAAAGTTTGGCATGCCCTCTCCCTTCTTACGTATGCGTGCGCCCGGCCAGGTGATCTTCTCACGCGTTACGCTAACACTGTGCCCATCTAAATGTTTAATATCCATTGTAAAACCAATGAGTGCATCCTGCAGACTGATGGTCACATTTGTATACAAGTCATCGCCCTTGCGTTGGAATCGTGGATGCGGCATCTGCTGAACGCGCACAATCAAGTCTCCAGGCTCGCCATCAATGTGTGGCTCGCCTTCGGCCACAAATCGTGTCTCCTGGCCATCAACCATACCCTGCTCCACCTCAATCTCCAGGGTGCGCTCCTCGTTGACCAGCTTCACGTTAGGACACTCATCGCAAACAGTTTGTTGTATCATCTGGAAGCGTCCAGGTCCCAAATTTCGTGTCACCATCTCCTGCCGACAATTGCATTTGCGCGTACCAGAGGCTGGTTTCATTACGGGCTTGTTGCGCACGATTTCCACAAAGTTGCCTGAGTAGAGCTCCTCCAGGGAGACATACATGTTCATCACAATGTCTGCGCCACGGGGCGTATCGTGCTGGTGGGGATCACCATTGCCAAAATGGAACCCAAAGTCGCCAAAGAAACTTGAGAACGGATCACCACCATGGTCCATCATACCCTCCTTCTTAAGGCACTCCTCGCCGCAACGATCGTATGTCTTGCGTTTATCCGGATTTGAGAGGACCTCGTATGCAGCACCCAGATCTTGAAATTTAGTTGACGCATCCGGATCATCTTTATTTTTGTCCGGATGCAGCTCTTTGGCGAGTCGCCGATACGCCTTCTTTATTTCATTCGTGTTGGCATTCCGTTTTACTTTCAGAATACCATAGAAGTCTCGCCCCGCAAGCGCCTCGTCAAGTAGAAAGAGCGCTAGCTGCACAAGTAACAGGCCTTTTATTAGCTGCATTATGTGTGAATCGTTTGTTTGTTTGCTTTTTTGACTACGTGGTTAGTATTCTCGTTGTGTATTATTTCACTTAAACATTATTTCCTTATCTTATGAATGATTTTCAGCTCGTCAAAACAACACGGCTGGCAAATTTATCAAAAAAACTATCTAAGCTTGTGTGTGTGCATCGTGGTTGCCGTTGATTGGTCGAAACCGGCGTGGCGGTGCTGCCACCTAATGGCTTATACCAGCTGTTTGTACTTCTAGTATTTTTGTTCTTTGGCGGTCACACTGAAAACACGTGTACACCAATTATCGATATTAAAAATAAGTCAAGTATTAACTCTTTTACAACTTAGTCATTGCCTACTGGGTCTAAGCGGATTTCAATTTAACAATTTCATTCATTCAAGACAAGCACATAGGAAATAATATGTTCGCATCGCAATTTGGCAGCTGTATAAATAGTGAAATTAGATAAATATTCAATGGTGAATTCTATTATTTTAGATGTTTACACGCAAATCTGTTTTTCATTAATCACAAAAGCGCGAGTATATATGAAAATACCCATCTCTAATAGCAGTGTTGGTTAGCGGCGCATTTTAGTAACAAATTTGTGAAACACCAAGCGCAAGTGTTTATTATTATTTCATGAAAACAGACAAACAGTTAGGCTTGGATAACTGTTGCTGTCAGTTGTTGAAACTCTCGAAAAGTCCTTAGTTTATAAAGCTTTTTTAAATACAATTGCTTTTGTTTTTTGGTTAAATTCACGAAAATTGCAAAACCAAGGAAAGGTATAAAGCCTTGTGTTATGTATGCTCAAGGTTAACAATTAGTGTCAACAACTAACCGAAGACGAAAAGGAGGAGGAGAGGCGAATACAGAGAGGGAGAGAGAGAGAGAGCCATTTGAATAGATCAACAATAAAAGTAGTGAGTAATACATGCATTTTAATGAGCTGTTGTATTCTCAGCAACTTATTATGCACTTTGACAACTAAAATTCTAAGTGAATCACCGGCTAAAGTAGAAGTTCAGAGTGTTATATGAGTTGCATTCTTATCGAAAATATTTCTTTACTTTTCCAAACAAGGCATTATCAGCAATACCCAAGCAGTACAGTAAATAGCAAACAAAGAAGTGTAAATGCTATTTATTACTTACATATACAGTCGACTTGCGGTATTCCAAACCTCCGATATTTCGAACCTCTTATTAATTCAACGTAATTACGAGTCCCCTACGAAATCTCTATAATTCGATTTATGGCCATACATTTTTATGCACTCAGTAATTCGAACTAAAAAATCATTACTCATATGATTGAAACATTTTATTTATCTCAAAAACTTCAAGCCATTAATAAAACATTCCAAATATTTTAGAGTCCCTTGAGTTTTGATTCCTTTTTCTTTATTAATTTTATCAGCAACAGTCTTAAGCTGTGGGTAAACAAGCCTTATCGTTTATTAACTTTTGTTTTCATTATTATAACTAAAGCTTTTTTCTCAATAAAATGTCTGAATCTCAAGTGTTCGTTCACAATAGGCTTTACTGTTTGATACGGGTATTACATTACATGAATTAGTTTAGGACAAGCTGTAAACTTATCTATGTATATAAAAACGTGTTAGCTGTTATCTTATCTCTATATATAGCTGTTAGATTATCTATATCTGTATCTAAAAATATGTAGTTATTGCTCCGATGTCAAAACAAAGTTCTAATCAACCACTTGTTTTATTTAGACTATCTTATCGTAGTTATAAATAATATAGGTTTAAGCAATGGGTAAACTAGACCTTAACGGCGGTCAATATCCATGTAAACATATAAGAAACACGCCCTTTTCATCAAATATAGGAGATATCGCTGACCCTGTTAAGCTAATCTATATATTATTGATACTATATTAGCTATACAACTCTTTTATATAATTCTTCTACAATTCGAGCATATACATTTTAATATAGTATTTCTATAGAGCCCGCATTACACGCTTCCCTCATGAATAGACATGCGCTATGACCGAATCGAATTTGAAATTTCAGTCATATATCATGGGACTGTATACCACAAGGCACTATCAATTGCATTCCTAAGTAGCTCATGCACTTCAGATAAGGATTAGTTGCTGATTATGCTAAGAAGTGGTTCATTCAAATAAGCAAGCATCAAGTAATCGACCCGCAGTCTTTGGTCGTCTGTGGAAGCGTGCGTTTGTGAGCTCAAGTCAACGGATCGATTGGTACTACGTAAGTGGTTGAAAATACCCATTTAAGTTTAGCACGCAATCCCAGAAGCCCTACAAATATATTGGAAATTCTGGTACATGGGCACTCGGGAGAACTTGTACGCGGCTAATCTGTAGGACGGATATGTCCATTAGCAGATATGATATCTGCGTATCGAAAACTCTTGAGAGCTAAGCGATAAGTCGACAAGTGTCGAACGTATTTAAATGTATTATTAGACCAATGCCACTCAGCTGGGGGCACCTGGGCAATTGCGCCCATAAAAAGCCTATAAAATCTTAATCTTCACGATTAGCTTTAGTGAACTATTGATTATACAACAGTCTCTACATTTTGTTCTCCTCTACTTGCAGATGCTCTAACTTAACAGCGACTACAGTTTTCGATAATCCTCTTCTATCATCATGTGCTGTGAGTGCTGTGGCGAAACGCAGCGCAAAAGCTGGGTCTTTGGCATTGGCTCAGTTTTTGTCGTGCTGGGCATACTCCTGGTCGTGCTCTGGCCCAATTTGGCGGATAATCTAGTCGAGAGTGTAAGTTGGCCAAATCTCCCATTGTGATCATAATCTTAAGAACTCTTCGATTTTTAGGGCTTGAAACTGGAGCCAGGCACCGACACATACGACAGCTGGCTGGAGGCTCCCATACCTATTTACCTGAAATTCTATATGTTTAACTGGACCAATCCCCAGGATATACGCAATCCGAACATCAAGCCGCACTTCAACGAAATGGGCCCGTATGTGTTCCTCGAGAAGCATAAAAAGGAAAACTACACATTCTTCGACAATGCTACTGTAGCGTATTATGAGCGTCGCACCTGGTTCTTCGATGAGGAGCAATCCAATGGCACATTGCATGACATGATTACGGCGGCGCATGCCATAACCGCCACCGTAGCCGATGAGATGCGTCACTCGAAGAAGATTGTGAAAAAGATTGTTAACTTTATGTTGAACCATGAGGGCGGCACTTTATACACCACAAAGCCCGTGCACGAATGGATATTCGATGGCTATCAGGATGATCTTACGGACTTTCTGAATCTATTCAACACCTCGAAAATTCACATACCGTATACGCGATTCGGTTGGCTAGCGGATCGAAACGGTTCGCTGGAATACGATGGTCTGTTTACCATACACACGGGCACCGATGACATCTCAAATATGGGTCGCCTGACCCACTGGAATGGGAAAGGCGAAACAGGATTCTATAAGATGCCTTGCGGCATTGTCAACGGTACCACGGGTGATCTGTTTCCACCCAAGATGAACGTCCTGGATGAGATTACCATATTTGCCACCGATGCGTGTCGCTTCATGAATCTGCGACCGCAGGGAACCATGGAGATGTATGGTCTTACTGCAACACGTTGGGTGGGCACTGAGGAGACTCTGGACTCGGGCGAGAATTATCCCAATCAGGCCTGCTTCTGCGATCCACGCATGGAGGAGTGCCCCAAAACGGGCGTGGTCGAGTGCAAGGAATGTCGCGACAAAGCCCCGATATATTCATCATTTCCACATTTCTATTTGGCTGACAAGTCGTACTTGAATGCTGTCAGCGGTCTAAGCCCGGATAAAGCCAAACACGAGTTCGTTATGGCCGTAGAGCCAACCACCGGCGTGCCAGTCCAGGTGCATGGTCGCATCCAGATCAATATGATGCTGGAGCCCGATGATGATTACGAGTATGTTTTACATGTTTTTATTGCAGTTTATGCTTTGTTCATATCTAAATTGAATTGGCCAAATAATATATTGGCAAGGACTTGAGCAGAGCATTAACCAATTGGCCCATATTCTATAATACTCTATATATTTATTTATATTTCCATACTTTCTATTTATCAGCATCTATCGTGGCATTCAGAAGGTGTTGATGCCAATGTTTTGGTTCGATCAGTACGCCCAGCTCAGTCCCGAGCTGGCCTCCAGGGCTAAGGTGAGTGAAGCTAATACAAAGACTTGCGTTAGTTTTGAATCATATTTTGTTTGCTTTTAGCTGGCCATCAACTTGTCGGACTATGGCGTCTACTTTGGCATTGCGTGCATTGTTTTTGGTGGCCTCTTTTTGGTCACTGGAATCGCATTGACGGTAACCAAGAGATGGGTACGTCGGCCCGTTGACGATGAGGACATATTGACCAATTGAAAGCAGTAATTTAACTGACCAAACTCTAGCCAAATTGTGCCAGGACACACATACACATAAAGAAACACACACAGACACTTGTTAACTTTACTAGTTCATCGTTTGCCTAAGCTTGTTAATAGTTGACGACGGCCTCTAATAGACGCCGATGTATATATGTGCTACATGCAGCATTTGTGATATACACACTCTTATTTTAAGTGCAATCAATATACATGAATTTTGTAATGTATTACCTTTACTCACATTTTACCCATCCAAATGTTATGTACTTGCTTTAACATTCCCGTTGTGTCTGTTTGAAGCTGCGATTTGTAATTTTACAAAAAACCAAAACAAATAAATCACATTTATGTACAACTTACATTTACAATAAGAAACAAGTGGTTTAAATCATGATTTTTATTATTCATATATGTATTTATATATATAGTACACATACACGTATAGATAGTTATTACTATTTTGGCACTGGCTGCTGCATATATAATATATATGCAAGCAGTTGCCAGGATATATTGCTAGATTCCATAAGAAAAACTTGATTGGAATCGCAGCGTTTTGCTATAGCTCTATACTATATGGCCGATTTTGATAACATATAGCTGCAAAAGGTGTGTGTGTGTGTGTGTGTGCACGTGTGTGTGTCATATATGTGTGTGCGTGTGTGTTGTCTTTAACTGTGCCACCGGATCATTTAGCCATAGGCTTTTAGTCGAGAAAAACCTACGCAAATATTTGTGACAACAGCCAACACACATACACAAATACATTCAACACGCACACTTACACACACACACACACACACAGGGGTTAATATAAACATAATATGAATATGAATATGCATCAAAATCATCAACTTAAAATTCAAAATCATAATCAAATGCAAAATAATAATTAAAACAGAAGCGTCAACGCTCACTCGCTAAATTCAAAATTCAAATATTAAAATAATAAAACAAACGGTGGGGCAAGGCCTAGGCAATTATTTGATAAATGGCATTCCGAGGGCGCGCACTCGATTTAAGATAAATCAAAAACAAATTCTTTAGTTCAGCAAAACAGGCGAAATCAATGACCGTGCCAAAGACACAAAGGGAGAGAGCCAGAGCTGCTCATACTCTCAGGAGAGTACAATAACTGCTCACGAGAGAGCAAAACAATTGCAGATGCTCTCTTTCGTCAGCCTCGATCATTGTTTCGCCTGCGCTTCATTCGGCAGTATGCATAAATGTGTATGTGTGAGTGTATAAGTATAAGTGGGTTATGTGTGTGTGTGTGTGTGTGAGTGTATTGGGGGCGCTCTCTTTAAATGCGAGTTCTTGTCTCTACATACTAAAAATTTGCATAGTTTTTGTGCGTTTTTCATCTCGTTGTTGACTATTTGTAATTGGTTATTTTCTTCATTTGTTGTAAAGTAAGTTAAATTAATAAAAAATAATATCAATCACAGTTGTTTTGGGCGGAAGTAGTTAGTTATTTCTTTCAGCGTTTTAGTTTTAAGTAATCGCATCTGGGCCTATATATTCAAGTGCTTATTAAGCGACCCTCAGATACTGAGAGCCAACTACTAACTAGCTAATCTAGTCTAAGTATTTTATAAAAAATTGTTTTTTTTTTTTTTAATTTTATTTTTTTTTTTTTTAGTAAATTAAGTAGTTCGTATTTTATACTTGAGTATTGTTGCTTCCATTTGTTGTTGCTTGTCTTTTAAGATTCCTGTTTTGTGTTTCTAGTTCTGTCATTCTATATTCAGTTTTCCCATACCTAAATTGACTAGACTGGGTTCTGTGTGTGCTATTTGAATGCGTATTTGAGGTTCGTTTTGTTTGTTTTTGTTTTTACTTTTCTTGTTTTGTTTTTCTATTTGCTTTTGTAACTTTGTCCTTGACTGTTGTCCTGGCTGTTGAAATGTCTATCGATTGTTGTCCTGTGGAAGCGGGCCGCGTTGAAACCTGGTGTTCGAGTCTACTTTCCAGCCGCCAACACACTGTGATCAACCAATTCAATTCGCGACCTATGCAAATTCTCAGCTGGACTGCGCTGACCCACCAACACCAACACCAACACCACCACCACAAATACCAACCAACCACATTCACATCCTTAACTAGAGAATTGAGTGGGCGGCTCTGCCTGTTTGTGTGTTCTTGTTGTTGATTCGATGCTTAGGTCTGCATTCTCGTTTGCGTTTGGGTTTGTGACTGCGAGTTTTAGCTTTTGTGGTGCTTCATAACCACCGCTGGATCCATGACATAGTTGTTGGCCTCCGCCAGCTGAACGGGCAGCGGCGGCAGCTTGTCCTGCGGATGCCGATGACTGATCGTTGCGCTCTTGCGTCCCTTGCTCAGTGTGCCCGTTGTGGACGTGGCCGTATTGCCATTCATGGCCGGAGTCGGGGCAAGGGACTTGCTGGCACTGTGATGACCCGCACCACAACCAGTCGAGGTGGTTGCAGCGGGCGCCGCAGTGGTTGCCACAGCTGTGGTGGCCACATTACTGCCCCCTGTGGCACTCGTCGATTGCTTGGCGTTCTTCGGATTGACTATGACCTTGGTCTGCTTGAGCAGCGAGCGATCGTTGCACAGCGCCGAGATGAGCGGCAGATCCAGATGTTTGCTCTTCTCGCGCAGCAGCGCAATGTCCAGCGGATTGGCCGAATTGGCATTGGCCGACTGCGATTGGTTGTTGGCAGCAATGGAGGCCTGGAGCTGTGCCAATATGCTGTTGCTGTTGCCACGATTCAAGCCCAGACTCAGATCGGGTCGTGGTCGCTCACCCGCCCACTGGGCGCCGCTGGATGTCTTGATGAGCGGACTGTTCGACTGATGCGGATTGAGCGTAAGCGGCTTGCGTGGCGGCAGCACGCTCAGGCTGGGATTGGGATTTGGCTTCGACGGAACTGCAAAGGCCACAGAAATGGTGTTGGTTAACGATTGAGTTCCAATCGAATTACTTAGTTTATAATAAGAAACTTACTTGGCGGCGGCTGTTCGCTGGGCGCCGGCATCGGCGGTTTCTTGTGCCGATTGACGTACGGCGGCGGCGGCGGTGGCGGCAAACGCTTCACCTTGGGCCTCGGCATCGAGTCGAGCGAATTCAGAATATTATCATCTGATCGTGATCGTGCAAAGAGGCTGGAGGCGTTCGCCGCTGCGGCCGCAGCAAGCGCCGGATGCAACGGTGGTGGTGGCGGTGGCTCATACGAGCTGCACATGCTGGCCATGGATGGGGAGTAGAGCGGCGAGTAGCCGGCACCGGGCAGCTGCACGTACGTGTCCGACAGGTTCTGTGTGGAGGCGTAGCGCGAGTGCGTGGACAGGGCTAGCGGCAAATACGGCGTACTGCGATAGATGGCGTGACCCTTGCAGGTGTCCCAGCCGGCGGAGTAGGCCAGATAGGATGGATGATGCGGCGGTGCCGGCGCCTGCGCCATGGCGGCCAGCAGGGAGCTCTGCTTGGCATCCAGATACTCCTGCTGGCTAACGGCCGGATCCTGTATGGGATAGATGACGTAGTCGACATCGCTGTACATTTGTTGCTGGTACAGCTCCAGCTGATTTCGCGCCGCCAGCTGGCTGCTGTAGAGCCCGGCCAGATGATGGGGATGCGTGGGCGGCGGCGGCGGTGGCGGCTGGCGCGGCAAACTGGGCGGCGGTGGCGGCAGAAACTGGCGCGGCTTTATCACTGGCAACAGCACGCACGCCTGCTGCGGCGGCGCCTGCTGGTGGTGCAGCGAGGCGGTGCTCTTGTGGTGCAGCCCGTAAGGAACTATGGGTATGCCAATCGCAGCCGAGCCGGAATGACGATGATGCGAGAGCTGCTGCTGCTGCTGCTGTTGGTGGTGGTGTTGATGGTGCGAGTGGTGCTGATGGTGCGAGTGGTGCTGGTGATGCAGCGACGCCTGCGAGCCACCAGCGTAATTGGAGTTGTGCAGCGATTGCTGCGACAGCTGATGGCTGCACACAGATCCACTCGACGAGGCAGCGGAGGAATAGTGCGTGGGTGCCGCATAGCTGGGCTTGGCACCGTCGGGTAGCAGGCTGGTGTGCGCCTTGAGGATGCTTATCTGTGGCCGTGTAGTGATAAAGCGGGCCGTAATCTCCTCCGATTTCAGGGAGCTCATTGATCCGGCGGCACTGGGCGCCGGCGCTGCCGAGGACGCCATCGAGATGAGCGATGTGGGTCGTGGTTTCATTGATGTGGGATAGGGAGGCGGATCACGTCGACGCAGCGCCGCAGCAGGTGGTGGTGGTGGCGGTGGTGTGGCAGGAACTGCTGGTGCTGCAGCCTTTGCTACAACCGCTGCCACTGATGTTGGTGGTGGTGGTGCAGGCGCAGCTGGTGGCTCCGGGTTGACCATCGGCATGCTCACGGGCTTGGGCATGGGCGGTACAGGCGGCGGTGGCCCCACCGGCGGTCCACACAGGCCCGTCTTCTCGTGCCTGGCGCTATATGGCGGCGGTGCAGGCGGCTGCACCTGTGCATCATTGGATTCTCCGCCCGCCAACGGCAGCGTCACATAATCGCAGTCCGAGTGAAGGCTGCTGGACACAGTCTTGCGGCTGGGATAGGTGCCCCGGCCCACAATCAGATTGGTTAGCTCCTCGGCCGAGAGCAGCGTATGCTTGTTGTCCGTGGGATCGCTGCCATCGCCGCGAAACGAGCTGCTGGTGCTGATGTTGGAGTCGGAGCGTAAACGGAACTCGTTGCACTTCTTGGCCGAGACACCACCACCACCAATGCCGGCCCCAGCACCACCGTCCACCGAGTCGCTGGCCGCATGGCTGCTCTCGCCCTTAGCTGGCTGGAAGATGCCATAGTGTGAGCTCTTCTCGGACTCGGCCAGCTCAGAGAATTGGCCGGTCAGCTCGCTGCTGTGCATGGTGTAAACTCCAGACGTCTCTGTGGGTGGTGCCATGCCGTGGGCCAGTGTGTACACACCGGATACGCCCGAGACGCTCTCGCTGTCATCGCGCACGGATGGCGCAAGGAAATCGCCGGGATTCGACTCACTCAAGGCGGAGTTCTGCGCCGTGTGACTGAAGCCCAGCTCCAGACTGGAGGATGTGGAATGTACGGCCGCTGGTGGCGCCGGCGGAGTTGTTACCACCACAGTGCTGCACGTCGACGAGCACTGCGAGCCAATGTTATGCTGCGAATTGGGCGAATCTGTGGTCGTCGTCGAGGAATCGTTGGCGGTGCTGATGCTGATGCTGTTGCTCGTTGTGGTTGTCCGCTGACTGCCAGCAGTGTTGCTGGCGAGGACCTCAGTGGGTCGCACGCTTACGCTCAGCGCAGCCAGCTGCTCCTCCAAGTCCTTGAGCGACATCTGACCCACCGACGAGGTCTGCCGGCTCACAC